AAAACTCCGCAGTTTTTCGTAAATGGCCAGACTAAGTAACTTTTATGATTCTACATACATTGCCTTGTTCGCTGTTTCTTTTATTTCATTTTCAAACTTTTTAAGAGCTTTAGGTGTGTACGCGTCTTTACTCTTGTCTGGTTATGATATGCTAGTTTAAGAGGATCGCGATTTTCTTATAAATTCTTCAGGTTATGTAATCTCTGTCAAGCAGATTTCTTCACAAATATCCGACATTTTCAAAGTTACGTAAATTATTTGTTAGGTGTATGGACGATTATTCTGCTGTTTAACATCATGTATTTCCTCTAGCATATATATGCAATGTCTCTGTTTCCAAACAATAACAAAATAAACTGGTTTTATTACTGAACGACCAGTCTTGCACCACCTGTATGTATCCTTCGCGTCTATTATATCTGAATTAAAAAATCCTATCATTCCACAATTTAGAACCAAAGTTTTTGTTCAAGATTTTCTAGTACTTTTGGAACCCTCATCGTCTTCAGTTTAAATGCAAAATATAAGTATACGAGATGTACTCATCCTATTTCGTATAAGGTGATAAAGGACTGGTCGTTTAATTTTCCCATAATGTTAAGAGTTGTGCCAACGTTTCCATTGAGTTTCACATAGTCTCGAAGCCCTACTTATGACCGAAGAATATAAGAATGACTTAGCGATAATCGCAATGTGAATACGAAAAGGCCTTGCCCTTCTTGAAAATTATATTCACCCTGTAACTCTCTTGTATATGTTGCTATGTTGGGAAGCATTAGTCTGCTGCCAATTTATTTACGCCACCCATCTTCGGCTCTCATAGGCGAGTTAAAAACGTCAGTCTATCCCGCATTAGAAAGCCTTTTTGGAGACAAGGAATTATGATATTCTATGATATCGTCAGGTCCACTTATTTAAAATTTAATTTTGACAAGTGGAGCATTGAGCATGTGCTAACACAATTGATAAGAAATAATAGTCTTTCTTTCCTTTATATTTGTTTATTTGATATTAATTTCGGCTGGGGCTAAATTTTATTATAATTGGTTGCTTTCCACATAGTAGATACCTGTAAAAATGCCATACGCTTTTTTGTGACGTTATATTTTATACAAAATATTGCGTGTTTTTAATAGGTAATTATTGTCCACTTGGACTTTCATTATTGTTAACTAAAGAAGACAAATCCTAGTACACTAAAATTAGGAATAATCAAATCAGATATGACCAGCATCTCTATCTAAATATATTCTTCTCGTGTAGTACGCCTTCCAGAATTTATTATGAATACCCTAACTATATGTATCCTTTATGATTGTATTTTTGCCTATTTTTCTCAGAGTGCAATCAGGGTGAATTTTCCGCTCTCCATCGGCTGGCGAAAATGGCCGTAACATATTTGAATTCTGCAATACCTGTGCCCAAGTACAGTTGGTCTGATCGCTGCCATGCTACCCAGGCGCTTTCCGATGCTAAATCACCCGTTACACCCGCTTCTAAGTCAGAACTCGCTTCTTCTGTAGATATCCTCATCACGTCGGAAGATGATCGACGGATGCAGAATCGCCAACCTCGGTTACTTGATACTTCTTCTCTGGAAGAACTGTCTCAGCCAAATCTACTTTCCCAATGTCTCCTTGGCCGGACTCTACAAGAAGCTACATTCGTGAGATTACAAGAATTCTTGATGAAAATTGACAAGCAAATGCCTTAATTAGATATGAATATATAGTTAGATGTTGATATGAGGATAGATACATAGACAAACATGCATGCTTACAGACTAAGAGATGTGTGGAGAATTTAAAAAAAAATCATATTTTGTCAGATAAACTGATGAACCAATCCAGTTTCATAGTGCTGAACAATGTTAACCGCTCTTTTTTACCTAAACATTGAGTATACTTATGATTTTGGTAAAAATCCTGATTGGATTTTATTCAACGATATCTCTTATTTCATTAGAAGAAATAAGTGTTTAAAATTTGACTAAAATGCTTGGTTAGGATAACTGCTTTCGAAAATTTACCACAGAATTCTGTCTTTATTTTATCCGCTCTAGGTTCCTGATTAAAAGATGTGCATTTTGCCATCTCGATCGTTTAGCAAAACTTGTCTATCACATTACTTTTGTATTTCACTTCTCTAATAGTTGTTAGTATTATCCGTCTGTAACTTAATGATCATAGCCTAACGCTAGATTCAGCATCGATTGCTTTGCCTTTGGGAGGGCACCTCGATTGAAAAAATGTGATTAAAATCTTA